ATTTATTTTTCGAAGAATAAAGGGTTTTCATTTTGAAAAATTTACTTTTTCTTCTCCGGTTCCGTGGTATCAGCCTTCTTTTTATCATCCGAAGATCCCTCCGGAGTTGCTGACCTAAAATAAGCTACATATCAGGAACAATGAGTTTAGAATTTTGTTACCAGTAGGAAACAAACTTCTTACTTATCATCTTTTGCTGCAGCAAAGGAGAATGGTTTGCCATTGCCAAAGGATACAGTCGGAACAGTTCTGAACGAGAAGATTGAAAGTTTGTGTCAAATTTCATCCTATGATTTTGATGATTTTTTGATGCGCTGTTACGATTGTTAGCTATTCACTGTTAACGTTATTACAGTTGCCTCCCAATCAATGTTACTGATACTATCAATAGCAGTATAAACAAACAGGCGGCGTTAATAGCAGAAAAGGCGATAGTGGCCCTGGTGGCAGGTAAGGCCGAACCCCGATATAGATGATTTGAGCAGAACAGTGACATTGAGGAAAAGAAAACATTTCCGATGACTCACAAATAGTTCTTGTCCTGCTCTTTTTTGGAATCCTCTTTGTTATTTGATTCGCTGCTCAATGGCTTCGCACTCTCATTCCTGAACATCAATGAACCTCATACAGCAATAATAAGTGTGAACGATACGCAGCTTACTCATTAGCATCCTTCTTCTGACTAGACCAAAATCCTGGTGTTGGCTTCGGTAAGGTTGTGGTTGGAAGAGGCACATGCACAGAAGAAACACCTGATTTGAATACAAATTCTTATGCAAACTCGACATGGTCGAGAACGAGAAAATATAAACTCACTGGATGAGTCAGTACCGCGAAATACTACAGTTTCAGCTCCACCCATTGGTCCGCCACCACGAATTGCTCTTTTCCTTCCTCCACCAGCACCACTTGCAGCAGCAGTAGCCGTTCCCGATGTGGCGGCTGTATCATTTGCCTGAAAGATGGCCTATGAAGGACTGAAGTTCTAGGGCAGGGTCAAGCTACTTTAGGGGTTGCTGCGGTCAGTGTAGCGTCCAGATTTGGCTTGATCACCGAAACGTTTCTGAATGAGAAGAAAGGAAGAGTTGTAAGGAAAGTCTAGAGCATGTAAGTTACCCTACCCTCCCAAGCTGAAGCGAGGCGGAGCACCAGCTGGTGTTGAGACTTTAACGGAATCGTTCAATTCGCTATCTTTTCCTGCATTAGATAACCGACGTTTAGCCTGGAACCACAATATAGAGATGACATTTTTGGCAGTTTACATTTAAAAAAAAGTTCTGTGGGAAGTATACTTTGCAATAATGCCTGCATTGATAACTCAACTTTAGAACTAGATAAAGACCATGCATATTCGATAAAACAAAACAGCATTACAATAAGTTAAAATTCATAAGTATGGGCTAATTCTGTGAATTCGAATCAAGCATTATAAACTGAGAAGCCATAGATAAGAGTTAACTTCAAAGGTTTGAATGCAAATCGATCTTGAGCAAAAATTTTTCTTGCTTTTTCTAAGAAAAAAAATAGAAAATGTTGCAGTCACCTTCGCTATCACCCGCGTTGATGTCGATGCTACTGGAGTTGCAGAACTATCCGCAGATTTCACCGAGGGCTTTCCAGAATACATTTCATCCAGCCTCTTCATATGTTCCAAATAAGACTTGACCGAATTCGACTGCAAAATAAAACTTGTATGAAATCCATCTGAAAACATGCATCAACTTACAAAATCATAGTGAGCGCATTGCTTGTACCATTCCTGTAGTTGCCGTATGAATTCTTTGTTGAGCAGAGACACTTTGTCCTTGAACTGAAGAGTGCGCAGCTGCTGCTCCGAAGTCTGTGAGACATCGTCGGCAGCCATTCTGTGGACAAGCCGACAGAACCTAGATTTTCCTACATTAGGCAAGGGGTTCATAATGATCTTTATGACTACGATAATGACAAAGCTGTTTATAACTCAGCA